CACCAGTACCATCCATGTATAAAAGTTTTAATTTACAGAAGCAGGGAGGATCAAACTCCTGCTGTGTTCAGTCTTCAGAAACCCATTGTGCTCTGGGAATCCTGCATCATGTCTAAATATAAGATCCATGTGTATTCTTAACTAAACCTTGGTGTGTATTTCTTCCAGATCTGTGCAGTAATCCAGCATGAAAGACCCCATGCACTTCGCTTTGTAACGGAGCTTCCCATAATTTAGACCGGTCACTGCTCCCCTCTCTCCTTGTGCAGGGTGACTGGTCTTGTCTCCGCCCCCTCCTGCAATAAAGACCGGTCACTGCTCCCCTCTCTCCTTGTGCAGGGTGACTGGTCTTGTCTCCGCCCCCTCCTGCAATAAAGACCGGTCACTGCTCCCCTCTCTCCTTGTGCAGGGTGACTGGTCTTGTCTCCGCCCCCTCCTGCAATAAAGACCGGTCACTGCTCCCCTCTCTCCTTGTGCAGGGTGACTGGTCTTGTCTCCACCCCCTCCTGCAATAATGACCGGTCACTGCTCCCCTCTCTCCTTGTGCAGGGTGACTGGTCTTGTCTCCGCCCCCTCCTGTAAAAAAGACCGGTCACTGCTCCCCTCACTCTTTGTGCAGGGTGACTGGTCTTGCCTTCGCCCTCCCCCTTTAGTTTCCTGTAGTGGGTGAGGCCCACCGGGTCCCTCCCACAGCTCTGCTCCCTGCACAGGCTATGTACAGCACAGTGATTATGTAATTGCTACCTTTACAAGGCAATATCTAGAGTTGCAAAGGCATTTGGTGCACACCAAGGGGATTTATATGTACAGAATCTGTATTTGTGTCTAAATATTGGCATCCTTTAGGTTATGTGTACATGACTTCTGCTCTGCTGATAAGATGACCATCAACCCCTGCAATACAGATGGTGGAGATGACCTTTAACTTTATGAATCATGTCTTCCTCATTGTAGGATCAGCTAATATCTATGACCATCCGCTATCAGACCTCAGTCTTCGTCAGGAGATCCGGAGAAAGATCGGATTTTGTCCGCAGTTCGATGTCAACTTTGACCTTCTAACAGTGAAGGAGAACTTGGAGGTTTTTGCTAAGATTAAAGGAGTTCATAGAAGTAAAGTCAAATCGGAGGTACAAGAAATGTGACCCGGCAGATATACTGGAGGAGGAGACACCTTGTAACGGACAATTTCAATGTTTGCTAAGCAGATTTATTTCATAGGTAGAAAAGGTTCTTTGTGACCTGGACATAGATAACATTCAAGATGTGAGAGCCAATAAGCTGAGTGGCGGTCAGAGGAGGAAGCTGACCCTGGCGATTGCTCTATTAGGAGACCCCGAGGTAATCTTCTCAAGAAGTATTTTTCACCTTTTACTTTAAAAGAAAACAAGACTTCGGGGTCTATTTATAATGAATTCACAAAAGCCTTCACCCTGCAAATCTTCCTGTACATGCCTTCTGTGCGAATGGCTCTGCCAATTGGTTATAAATAGACCCCGGAACTGATATCTACAACAATGTTACCATTTATGGGTCCCCATTTCTTTATAACACACAGATGAGTAAAAAGATAACAAATATATAAAGGGAACATAACTTGTCGCCTTGACCTGAAGTTCTCCTTCAATTGAACCGACGGCTGGTCTTGACCCGTTCTCCAGGCACCGCGTATGGTCCATTCTTAAAGAGCGTAAAGTTGGCCACGTTACCCTATTCAGCACGCAGTTTATGGACGAAGCGGACATCCTGGCGGGTGCGGTACTCTATGATTTTGGTGTTGTAATTAAAACCCTTAGGGCCCCTGAGAAGCAAACCTAATATAAAATGTCATGAAGACTGCTGTCATGTCCCTACTTGTATCCCTATAAATGGGTTGTGCCCAGATATTCCGGAGCCAATCAGCACGGTCAATGCTGCTGTAGAAGCTCACATGACCAAAGATTTTGATTTCTACTTGTGACATAGGCTAACATTTAGGCTTGGGCTACAACGAATGTTGGCTTTTTATGGCTAATCTTTGTGAGCGATGTATCCAATTTAATTCATGGCTCAGAATGTTAAAGTGATGATAGGCCATTCCAAGTCTTAGACCTGCTTGTCAATAACATGCAAATGTTCAAGGCTGTTGCAAATTCCTATTTATGTCCGATCCTTATCTTCTAATTTGGTTCCAGATCGTAAGGCTGTGCTCTCTAATGGGAGGCTGAAATGCGTTGGAAGCTCTTTTTTCCTAAAGCGGAAGTGGGGCATCGGATATCACTTGAGGTGAGCATGGAGACCCAAACCTTTATGTATTGCTTTAAGACTTGCAGACGTTGCAGGTGGTCTACTAAGTATAGGATTCACCAAACATGTCCTCTAACATCTGGACTGTGGTGCAAACACAAAGGATCTCATAACTGAAACTTGAAGGAATTTTAAGTTGCCTGTAGCCACCTGGTCCCACAATACCCTACAAGCATACAAGGTGCATCCTGGTTGGGTATCATGACAATACATGAACTTTGATCGTGTGGGTCATTGTGTCTCATATACAACAACCATGGGTCAACTTGTATGACTGAGCGCTTGGTGGGTTGAGCCTTTTTGGTCATTTGGCACAGAGCACCCATCCACCATTGTTTTGTCATTAAACCCTATTGTGTGCTCTAGCAGGTGGTAGGTGGTCCTTTTAAGTCTGACATTTGCTGCTTCAAAGTGAAATATGGTTGGGCCAGATGAAAGATCCATTTCCCTCATACATTTTGCCTGATACCATCACACCTATTCTGTCTTTTTGGAAAACCAGGATCCAGATGACTCCACCATGTGACACAGAGGCCATCGCATCCCTCATAAAGCATCACATCTCCAACGCCAAACTCAGCACACAGAATGTTGAGGATGTGACGTTCACCTTGCCGTTCGAGAACATGGATGCCTTCCCAGGTACAGGGTGCATGTCATAGCATGGAGGACATAAAAGGGAAGCCTATGAGGCAGTGACCAATTACAAAATAGCAGGGACAGGAAGTGGGGAGCAGACAGACCGGGAGCACTGAGCTAACGGCACCGCAAAGCTCCTCCCACATTTTTAAGAGCTTTATGTACGTAAATAGACAAATATAAATGTAATTATCACATTACACTGACCGCCAACTGTCCTTTCCACTTATAATTCCTGAAGATTTCCTTCATATTTGAACTATTTTGTTTATTTGCAGCTCTGTTCTCTGACCTGGACGGACATGTGGGGCGAGACATTGCTAGTTACGGTGTCTCTGTTACCACATTGGACGATGTGTTCCTGAAACTGGAAGGGGAAGCTGAGATTGAAAAAGGAGGTGGGCATCATTTTTTTATGTTTTAATAATCCAGCAGTTCTAAGGTCTGGAATTCATCAAAGTTGTAATATAATCGCAACTTACCCGTTCTTATAGCTAGTGTCTGCATTCGTTTTTCTTTTTTCAGACTTTTTTTTAACCTTTATTATCACCTGGTGATCCAGTTCCTGGTCCTAGGGTGATGACGCTCACTCACTGTACTGCAGGGGTGCCCACAATTTTTTGTGTTAATCTACTTTTCAAATGACGAGCTACGTGAGATCTACCAACGAAAAAAAACCTCCCTCGCTCTCTCTCTCCTGGCTGTCTCTCCTCGCTCTCCTGACTGTCTCTCCTCGCTCTCCTGACTGTCTCTCCTCGCTCTCCTGACTGTCTCTCCTCGCTCTCTCTCCTGGCTGTCTCTCCTCGCTCTCTCTCTCCTGGCTGTCTCTCCTCGCTCTCCTGACTGTCTCTCCTCGCTCTCTCTCCTGGCTGTCTCTCCTCGTGCTCTCTCCTGGCTGTCTCTCTTTGCACTCTTGGCTGTCTCTCCTCGCTCTCTCTCCTGGCTGTCTCTCCTCGCTCTCTCTCTCCTGGCTGTCTCTCCTCGCTCTCCTGACTGTCTCTCCTCGCTCTCTCTCCTGGCTGTCTCTCCTCGTGCTCTCTCCTGGCTGTCTCTCTTTGCACTCTTGGCTGTCTCTCCTCGCTCTCTCTCCTGGCTGTCTCTCCATGCTATCTCTCCTGGCTGTCTCTCCTCGTTCTCTCTCTCCTGACTGTCTCTCCTCGCTCTCTCTCCTGACTGTCTCTCCTCACTCTCTCTCCTGGCTGTCTCTCTTTGCTCTCTTGGCTGTCTCTCCTCGCTCTCTCTCCTGGCTGTCTCTCCTTGCTCTCTTCCCTGACTGTCTCTCCTCACACTCTCTCCTGGCTGTCTCTCCCGGCTCTCTCCCCTCTCTGTCTCTCCCTGCTCTCTCTCCTGGCTCACCTTTCTGTAGTTTGCTGTGTATACTGATATTCTTTGATGTAATACATAGCACTACAACCCCCAGTATCCACCAGAACGGTGTCGGGGAGCTCGGCTCAGCAGACTCAGGCTAATAGGTAATCATGTGTGCACAGCGAGATAAATATACCAAAATGGAATAAAGGGGCCGCCATCCCCCCCCTTCCTGATCTACCAGCATCAGCTCCGAGAGCTACTAGATCACCATCTACCTAATGGGCACCCCTGCTGTACTGTATGTATTGAGGAGCAGGATTGGTACCCTAGGACAAGACTGCAGAACTTGTCCCCCGATCTCCTCCTCTCCATGACACAGGGGGGAGGGGTTCTGTGGTTTGTACTAATAATACTAACTTTTGTCACCGATGTACAACACACCAAATTATTATTCTACTAATCTTAAATGGGCAGATTACGGTGTTTTTTCGCATGAACAAAATGAAGACGAGGACCGGGATCACTTCTCCTCGGAGCCGGAGGATTCAACTCTTCTGATGTCGGATTCCGGAACTCCCACCGTCAGCGGAATGGCCCTGTGGAGACAGCAGGTGTTGGCCGTGGCGAGGATCCGATACCTGAAGCTTATCCATGACATGAAAGTCTTTCGATCCATGTAGGTGATGTTGTTGTTTGATGGGCAGTGTCTCGTGCGGCTGGACCGGTGTGTTGTATAGAGTTGATCCATGAGTACATTTCTAAATATTGAGATGAAATGGCTTCAGACTGCACTAGATAATTTATTCCTGACCTAGTTGTTAGAACAAAGGCAAGCATTCATGGCCAGCTCCATCCAAAACTCCCAACTTACTGTATGCAGGAGGCTCCATCACCATTTACATAAGGTTATCATGATTGTGTCACTCTCCAGCAGTCATACGTTCAATACACATTATAGATCGACCACGATACCCTCATATACAGTATAATGCAAAAAAAATATCTACAAACTATTGAGAAGCATTATGTCAAATGACAAGAACCATCACTATCATGCAGGGAATCATCTGACACGGCAGGAATTTCCCATCATGCATTTGTGACGTGAGGTTTTGATGCAGTTGGTGTTCTTTTCATGCTAACATCTTGAGTAATGCAACAGCATATTCATGGCTCTCAACTGCCCTGGTGAACCAACAGCGTGCCCATTGATGTAGAACGGATACATGATATCACATAGCATCCTAAAAGTTCCCTTAGCTTGTCTTCCATTAGTTGGTTAGAAGGGGGGGGGGGGGGGG